GTCTATTTTTAAATATTTTTGTTTAATATTATTCGTTACTTTACATTTTCAAATACTGAATTAAATGCATTTTTTTTCTTCATGTTTTAACCTTGTTAATTCAACTCTAAGTATTAATTCTCTCTTATCACATTATTAAATGATCAAATTTATTTTAATCTTTTAATGTGTTTTTTTCTAAAATCAAGACACATTTACTGAGATTTTTAATACTTCTGCAAAGTCTAAAAACGACAATTAATTAGAAATAAATGGAGTAATAATTAAGATGTAGAGTTGTTATTAGTATTAAACCAAAAGCGTGCTTACTTTGTTATGATTCCATTGATCATCAAAAGGAGCAAAAATCGGTGTAAAGAGAAAAGGCAATAAACTAAGTTGATTCAATTGATGTCTCTCCCGTATTTCTCGGATTAGCTCTCATTGTTTTTCTCCTTTATTGATTCTTTTTATTTATTTTATTTTATTTTATTTTATTTATTTATTTTTTGAGAAGCGACTAAACCAAAACAAGAAAAAATGATTGTAATAAGTATATCTTCTATCTATATTAATTTTCAAATTTTCTTTCTTTTTGTTTTTCATTAGTTTAGATTTATTGTGGAAATAAATAATTGGTGAAAAATGATAAACTCACAAATTTAGATGCTATAAATTAAAATATGAAACTAAAAAAAATTGATATCTACTATGAACAATGAAAAACTAGAATGATAATTAATTAGTGTTAATTAATTAGTTAATCATGTCCAAGTCATCCGATGATGTTCGAAAACAAGTCTGAAACTTAATGCCGCGTGTCTGAGGTAATAATACGTTCAAAAAAAAATCCACACACCAAATAAGAATCCACGCGTCAACCTACAAAATAATGCAGACATTAAGTGATTCGGCGCGAGTTGCTCGACGATTACCCTTTGACGCTCAAATAAGCAACCGAAAATTCAAGTAGAATAGAACGCTCGTAGAAATCAAAAATAACAAACTTACCTCAAAATAGTGAAAAATTACTTAAAATAAGTCTTATAAATTAAGTCTTCCATAAAATCCAATCATATAGTATCTAACAATTATGTCACCCACAATGCATTATTTGAAGCAATCCCAAAGTATTATTATATATACCTCTCTTTATTTTGTGGGTTTAAAAACCCCATGTGACCATTTGCCATTTTTTTTCTCACACAGCACACACACAGTAGCGGTGGCAATGGCGAAATCTTCCGAAGAGGAAGAAGTAGAATCGTTATTCCGATCTTACCCCTACGCCGCACTATACTTGGTCCAAAGCCCACCCTCGACCGTTAATTCCCATGCAACCGCCTCGTCCAATTACAATCACCTTCACCACTTAAACTCATGTAATAACAACTCTCCTATATCTCATTACTCGTCTTCTCGTGGATCGAACAACTCGTTTTTGCAAGACGGTGATAAGAAGAAACTACATTCACACGAGGCGCTTCGAAATGGTAATATTAATATTATTAGCCGTATATTTATTTATATTAACCATATATTTATTTACATATATATTATAGATAAATATTGTATTATCGGTATGTATATCTCCTAGTTCCCTTGTGTAAAGGGTTAGGGTTTCACACATGTAATATATATATCACAATAAACGTGAGAGATAATTATTCTCTCTTCTCTCCAATTATTCTTCTTCTATCATGGTATCAAGCCAAAAACCCTAGC